GCGATGAAAACCTTTTCGAAGTGTTATGACTTATAATTTTTAAAAAACTATAATTATAGTTCAGGTTAGTTTTATCCGGATATATTTTATAGTATTAGTTGAGATCAATGTCGTCACGTTTTTAGGTTTAATATAAGGTAATATAAGATTAGGGTCATGACAATTGTCACGCATGGTTCATTTTATGTAGGCTGCCATTTTTCGAGCCATATCGAAGATTTGTCCAAGAACATAACGGTTTTTTTTTCAAAGTTTTGTGTCATTGGTGTCCATCATTTGGCAAAGACGTCTTGCAACTACCCGCCACTCTTCTTGATTACTTTATTTTGTAATTATTGTATCTCAGGCATTTTTTTTTTAAACTAGAGTGCTCTTGATATTAATGTCTCTTCTCTGGTCGTATATTTGTCACGTACTTTTCTTTTACATTTCTTTTACGGTAATTGTAGTGGGTAGCAAAAATACTTTATGTATTTCAAAAAATATCACAAACTTTTAAAAATTTCAAATATAACAAAATATTTGAATTTTTATTTTTGGAATTTTTATTATTCAAATTTTACCCTTATGATATCAGATATATATCTATATTTGATATACATCTGATGTATATCATACATCAAATCTATATCTGATATCATCTAATGTAAATTTGTATATGATATATATCCAATCTATATCTAATTTACATCCGATGTAACTCTGATATATTTCCGATATACATTCGATGTACCCCTAATATACAGTATCAAATGTACCCATGATATACATTATTAGATATTCTATTGATATATATCAAATTTACGTATTATACCTATAATATATATATCTGATGTACTTCTAATTTATCATATACTAAATATTTCCCAGTTGATATACTAAATATATCCGCTGTTTAAATTCTAGTTTACCATTTCAATTTGTTGATTAATATACTGATATTATCAATAATGTTGATTACTATATCACTACTATTTATTCAATATTACTATTAATTAGATACTAAATATAAGGGACATCAACTGTTTAAATTTATAAAATTATATCAAAATTTTAACTTGTCTTTTTGGACGTGCATGATCCACGTAAACCTTTTATATAATAACTTTATATTTCAAAAATAAAAATAAAAAATTTTGCGCCATTGTTTTCATATAAAAAAATTGGATATAATAATATTGTATCAACGCACATGTATCATAGTTATATTAGTAGATATAATGATTATATCATAGGTATATAAGTGGTAAATTATAAGCATATTAAGTATATATCAAATATATATCAGTGTTATATTAGTGGAAAATCATATAATCATATAAGAAGTTATATCAGTAGATACCATAGTTATATGAGTGGTATATCATTTGTATATCAATGGTAAATTAGATACATATCATATATATATATGTGTTGTATTAGCGTGGTAAACCAATGGTTATTATACGTATATTAGTGGTAAGACATGTTAGAAGTTGAGTAAATATCATGGTTATACCAGAACTAAATCAATTGTATATCATTATTATATAAGTGGTATATCAAAGATATATATCAGTGGTCAGATATATTACAGATATATATCAGATATAGTAAAGGGTGAATTTGTAATTTTATAATTGGACCTCCGTTCTTTCTGAAAAAAAAACGTTATATTTGAAAAAACTAAATGTGGTTGCTATTTTGCTTATTTTACTAAATTTTTTTGTCATATTTGCAAGTGCCTCTCTCTTTTATCTAATGCTAATACGATATTTAAAAAACCATCCATTTAAACTTTGATTAAACTTATTTCTATTTTAATCTCTGCATACTGCACAACACAGTGTAATCTCAGCTCATTCGATTTCCAAGCTTTGTGATGTACACTTTCGAGGAAAGTTCCTTCACCCTATAACGTGACCAAAACAGCATAAAGTTATGTGGAAAAACAATTAACAAAGCTTTAATTTTCCAATGTATGTCCATAGGAAAGGAACTTGAGAAGAAAGAAGAAATAAATTTCCAAAGAAAAGGAAAGGTGATGAGATATGTGGGTCATTCCTATTGGCTACTTTTGCAGTATAAAACATGATGACGATTCAAAGGTGAGCTAAAAATTACAGATAATGATATCATATATAAAGAGAATAAATCATTTTAAATTTTATCATACAATAAATTTTTTAATAAATAAACTCAACAAAACTCCAACATAGGTTAAATTATATAAAATCTCGTCTTTGGAGTATCCTACTTTCATGCCATTCACAAGGTTCAACAAATAATCGATTTTTCACGATCAAGGGTATAGTACTATTTGTAGTAGCAGTCCTTATATATTTTTAAATTTGCTCGTTTAACATCGTCGGCTAGGAAAAAGGAAAAATCAAAGATGTGCCTTTACTAATATATCATTAGTATTTTCCCTCTCCTAACCGACATGGATTCCTAACAATATATGTAACATGCAATGCTTACTATATTATTTAAGGTTTACGTAGTATGTTGACTTTAGGTAGTTTAAGTACCGCGTTAAATTGGACTAAGAGTTAAATAGTGACAACTCATTATTTTTCAAAACAATTTTTTGTTTTTGCATTTTTCTCCTTGTTAGAGATATTTAATGATGGTAAGGAAGAAGTTGCTTAGTAAAGAGTCAAGTATTTTCCACATTTGGTGGAGCGGCTATTTCTTTTCAACCCCCTGCTAAAACACAATCCTAAAAATTTAATAAATAATCTTTTTTAATTTTCCTCTCTTGAGAATAAAATGGTCACATCACAAAGAAAAAAAAAAAGAAAGCATCAACTCAAGAACTTGCTTAGCAAGTTCAATTTCTATCTTTCCATGAATCTTCTCTCTAACACTCAATAATACACACACAGCACTAAAGAGTCTATATAAAGTCATCATTTTCCTACCATAGTCATCAAAAACCAAAATAAAAAGCACCATTTTCCTACCTTTCTCCACTGATCAAAATCTGCCTTAAAAAAAATGCCACAGTTTTCCAAACCCTGTTGGATCTCAAACATTGGAGGAGGAAGCCATGCTCTGGACACAGAAGAATTCATCAAAAAGGGGAACAATCTATTGAACTGGAAAATCCCCAAGGTACCCACAACCAAAATCTACAAAAAAAAGTCCTTCACTTCCTTCTCTGATCCCTCCATAAAAACCATAGAAGGGAAAGTCTCTTGTGGAAATGGCAGCCAAGCCTTCAGATTGATAGCTCAAAATCCCTTAATTGATGGCCTAAAGGACAGGAGACTCTACACCATGTTCAATGTGGGGCTGCTCCAAATTGGGGTCAAAACTTTAACCAAAAAAATTCCCTCAAATGCCTCAATTATTCTCTGTGTTTGTGACACTCGCTGTGAGAAGCTTGAAGATTCGATTTTGGGAGTGGTGGAAGCTAGTCTAAGGGATGGCCCTTTGTATTTCAACATATTTCCAAACATTACCATGTCTGTGTTTCATCCCAAGTTGTCGGATGCTTTGGTTTTGAATGTCATTGTCGAGGGTTTTGAGCAGCTCCCTGTGGGGACACAGCCCATTAGTGTAATGTCTAGGACTTGTTATAAGTTTCAAGGGAGTGCAGCTCCTGATGCCCTTCTTGAGAGCCCACAAGGGAAAACTGTGTTTTTTCAGACAGATTTTGAGAACTCCAATGTTGCTGTTCAGAAGGTCTCAAAATGGGATGAAGTTGTCCAAAAAGTCATCTACTCTTGTGCTGCAGAGTAGAAAGAAACGTACTCGGTATCTCCACAATTTTATGATATCGTCCATATTAGGTCTAAATGGTGTGATTTTTACTTAAAACAAAAAAAACTGTCGTGTTGGTGGAGATGATATGTTGTGTCATTACTTATATATATTATAGATTTTTTTCTTTTTGGAATTGATGAGAGACTATGTTTGTATCTATAATATGGATTAATAAGTGAAAGAAGTGGATTTTTTTTTATTTAATGAAGCACTGTATATTAGTTGTTATCTAATATAAACCAAGTTTATATATATCCGTGTGTGAAATATAAGTTTTTGTATTAATTTGTATTGTGTATGCCTTTGTTACATAAATGTTATGGTTATTTTCGTACATGTTTATTTATAAAGTATGCTTTTTATTGCACAAAGGTGTCGTCTTCTTTCTTAGAAATGTTTTATCTTAATGGCAAAAAAAAAAAAAAAGTTTTATCTTCTTGCCTACTTTAATAATTCATGTGGGGATCTTTAGAATAATGTTTAAATTTGTTACTGTTTTTTCATAAATGAAAAGTTGGAGTCTTTTATGAATAATGGAATAGCTTTATGAATGATTGGGCTGGGTCTTTTCATGAAGTGTTTGTCTTCTTTCTCGAGCAAGTTGTTACCTTGTAGTCCATTTTTCTTTCCTCTTATATCTAATAAAAACTCATTTTCTCCGGGATCTAAATATGGTTAATTTTTCACTTGTCATCGAAGGGTAGCCCGATTGACAAGAGTTTGAGTCTTTTGGTCATACTAATTTAAAGATCTCAAGTTCGAACCACTAGAAGAAAATTAAGTATTTTCAAAGGTCAACTACCTTTGAAAAAGTATAAAATAAACTTTCGATAAATCCTTTTTCGAAGGTTTACTCAACCTTCAAAAAGTGTCGAAATAGGTCTCGTCGAAAAAGCTTTTTCGAAAGATTTGTTAACCTTCAAAAATTCATATTTTCCAAAAGTTATAAGCCTTCGATAATTCTTAAATTAGTTGTCAATAATTAGTTAGTTTCAATTACTTTTTTTCGAAGGTTTCATTATTTTCTAAGGATCATAATCTTATCTTCAACCATTTTTAAATCTTCAAAAAAAAGTTGTTTATTGACATTTGTAAATCCTTCGAAACAAATCAAATAGAATGATAGCGTTTGAAATTAGTATTAATTTAATATTATTTGTTTGGAAAAATTAAATTACTTTTCCTAGTTAAAATTTATAATTTCAAAACTATATTCAAACAAAATATTATTTACTATAACCAATAGTTACTGCAAAAACAATCAACAAGTAGTCACGATATTTCTAAAACTAATTCAAATAATACAAATACTTCAAATACGTAAAACAAACAAATTTTCTAACCCCTACTTTAGGATTTCTTTCGCATCATCTCAGCCATCATTGCTTGAAATCCATGCTCAAAACGATTTTCTAATTCAATAATTTGATCTTTGAGTCCTTGTACCTCAACTTTTCTTTGTCGTTCTGACTCGTTAAGGCGTCGCTCAAGATCACGAACTTTGGAAGATGATCCAAACAACCCAGAAGGAGTAACACCGGCTCCATAACCTCGAACACACCCATGTTTCTCTGGTTCAAATACTTGGACAAAAATCTCGTTGTTGTTCATGTCAAGTGTACCATCAATCACTTGAGAGACATATCATTTGAGTTCCGACTAAAGACATAAATAAAAAGTTTAAAGACAAAAATAAGATATTTTCTAGTAATATGAAAGTAATATCGAGTAAAAATTGCAAAACAAATATCAAATAAGATCATCTCAAATATTGCTCAAGAAATATCAAATTGCAACAAATTCTAAATTCTAAATTCAGGTACCATCTCTTTTCTATATAAAATTTTAGCTTATTGAGCAAAAATGTATTATATTCTTCGTTAGCTCCAGACTTCTAAAAAGATCAAAAAACAACAAATATATAATTTATACACCGCCAAAACAAACCTTGTGTAAGGAGGAGTGATGCAAACAATTGTCAAAACTTAAATTGCACCAGATTATGCAGATTCTGTGATTCGTATTTGAGAAACTCATATTCCAACAAATAGCATAGTAGCAAATCCCGAAGAAAAACCAAAAGAAATGGAGAGATTTCAATTTGATTTTAAACATTTAAGAGATAGAAAGGCATGAATCATTTTAACTTAAGAAATATAAATCCATATAGTGTACTTATCAATTTCTCTTGTATAGTTTCATTCACCGTCGTTCCATCATTTCTTAAGTGAGTTATCTCCCAAATTCTTATGCGACTAGGTTCATTATTAATGTCATGAACCTAGCTATTTAAATGAAAAATATATATTAGATGATTGTACTAGATTAAAAGAAGTTTATGTGATTATTCATTTACCTATTTCTCAACCCTTTGTTGTATACTCTGTGAACCCCATGTGTGATATACATTCAATTTAGAACGGTTCACTTTGTTCCTGTCACACATCTCCTACATTTCAAAAATAGAAAATGAGAATGATTACCATTTAAAGAGATAAACATATTCTTGTTATATGTACTAGAAGACAAATTTTAGAATATAACCTGATATTCAGTTGACTTCCACAAGTTAGCAAGATATTCTGCATCTTCTCTTGTAATTTCTGGTGGAATATTAGCCAAAGCTTCTGCAACTATATCATATTTGTACAACCATTTTTTCTTCAAGCTATCTCTCCAATTATTATAAGATCGATTAAGTTGACGTAAAACAGAAGCCTCATGACCTTCAACTTTAAATCGCTCTTACATGGCAAAAAACAATGACAATTAAAGCAAGTAATACGTAAATAAAATAACTATTAAGTTTTTATATCACATATAATGAAAGCTCAAATAGTTTTCTTTTTGTTGCCATGTCAATATCTTTCCAACGTTTCCCTTGTAGAGGTGTAAAGTTGACTTGTCGAGCCAAAATAGTGGATTGGCTTTTGAAAATATCAGCATTATCTCCAACGGGTCTTTTGTTCCTCCATGATACTTCAAATCTAATCCCATGAGGTAATTTAACTAGTTTAAGATTGCGTGTGGGACTACACACTTTTCTTGGCCCTACAAAAGAAGATTCTGAAATAAAAAGATAAAAAGAAAGGGAGAGTTAGAAACAAATCAAATAAAATTAAGTTAACTAAAAAAAATATATTACCTCCATTAACAGTCCTTTCATAATTAGTAGTTGATCCAATTTCTCTTGTAAACGATGATGAAACTTCTAGACCAACTTGTCTTTTAGATTTTGTTGAAGATATAGATGTAGTCGCCCCTACTATTCTCATGACTATTTATACTATTTCTATCTTGGAATTTGAACTTTGCTCTATGAGATGAGAAGTTTTTCATCTTTTTCCCTATCGTATATTGCACTTAAGAGTAGAAATTGCACTTTCAACCTGCAAATTATAACTTTCTCAAATACAGATAATTCTACAATTCAGTCTCTAACAAATAAACAGTACATAATATTCAATTCAAATAATTTTCTAAACATATTAATAAAGTCATATAATTGGACAGTTGCTTAGGAAAATCATTAATAAAGGTTCATAATACCAAATAACAAGAAGTAATTCAAAAAGAAGTCACCATCACCAAATAATTATCAACATTAAATTCCTTCATAGCCATCTTCTTCTTGACAATCTGCATCTTTGATTACAGGGATCTTGTAATAATCTCTTGGATCAACCTTCAACACAAAATACCAAGTTGGATTTTTTCTATCTTCAAGGTAAACAACTTGTTCAGATTGACATGCCAATACAAATGGCTCATTTGTAGCAAATGTGTAGGTCATATTCACACTAGTTAGTCCATGATCATCAACTTTAATTCCTTTACCATGACTATTGACATCCCACCATTTACATTTAAACAAAACGACATTATTTCCTCCCATATACTAAAATTCAATAATTTCATGCAACACACCAAAGTACTCTTGATTGTCAGTTCCTCTCACTACTACTCCACTAATTTGTGTTTTTATTAAATCATCAACATCCTTTATACGAAACCTAAAACCATTAACAATATATCCTTTGTAGTATATTACTTCTTGTGATGGACCTTGAGCTAAATCTAATAGTTGTTTGTCAACTTCATGCTTCCTTCATTATATAGTTCAGTAATCTACATAGACAATAGTATTATGTTTAATAATAAGTAGATAAATACAAACAAATAGATCATAACTACTATGTCTTTTCTTACTTACATGACTTACAAACCATTCTATAAACTCTTTATCGTGCTTTCTCTGTGCATTTCTGGCATCAACATGTTGTAATGCTTGTACGTGTTCACTAAAAAGAATTATAAAATCAAAACACACTTTACGTTTCATTTTAAAATATTTATCACTAATGAAATTTTTTCTTACCCAATATACGATAGGACATCATCACAATTCTTTAAAATATAATGATGTGCTTGTCTTCACTCTTCTGTCGTGAGCCTTCTTCATTGTTTACCTGGTCGCATAGGATGACCAACTGGTTTAAAAATAGACAATCTATCATATGAACTATGATCATTGTCTTCATTTCTTCTCATTTGATTGAACTTAGTTTCAATGGTATGAAAATATCTGGTGCAAAACATTACACATTCATTGGCAATATAACCTTATGCTATAGAACCTTCAGGATGAGCTTGATTGCGCACATAAGCCTTTAGCTTACTTAAGTACCTTTCAAATGGGTACATCCACCTATATTGAACTGGTCCATAAATTCTAGCTTCATTTGGCAAATGAACTAATAGATGCACCATTACATCAAAAAATGATGGTGGGAACATCATTTTCATTATTCTACAAAGAATCCTTATAATCTCATTCTCAATAATTTTTATAGCATCAACTTTAACCACTTTTGAGCACAATGTCTTAAAAAAATTGCTCAAGTCAATCAATACGTCTCGTACATCCTTCTTCATCAATCCTTGCAATGCATATGGGAGCAAATATTTCATAATAACATGATAGTCATGACTTTTGAGACCAAATATTTTTCTTCCTTTTAGATTAACACACCTCCCAATAGTATAAGAGAATCCATCTGGAATCTTTAATGTGTTGAAGTACTCACAAAATGTATTTTTCTCATCTAAAGATAATGTACAACATGAAGCTGGCAGGTGCCATTTGTTTTCATGTTGTACTGGATGCAATTCTGTTCTTATTCCCATTTGCTGGAGATCAAGACGAGACTTTAGAAGAAACCTAGCCGCAACTAGGGTACGTTCTTTTTTAGAAAGGTAAAGTTATTTTTTTCTAAACAGTAAAGTTCTTTTTTTCTTGTTTAGAAATTAAAGTAAATTTTATTACTTTTAATAATATTATATATTTTTTCCAAGGTTTTAATAACCTTCGATAAAAGGTTTATGTTTTTTTAAGAGGTTTTCAATAATCTTTGATTAAAAATAAAATAATATTTATAAAAGGTTTTTAACCTTAGGCACCTTCGGCGAAGAGAAAATTTTTATTTTTCTAAATAGAACCTTTTTCAAAGATTTCTAGCAACTTCGTAGAAAAAAGTTAATAATTTCGTAGCTTTTTCGAAGGTTTTCTTAGAACCTTCGATAAAAGATCATGTATTTTTCAAAGGCTTCAAATATTTGTTGATAAATATATTGTTTTTCAAAGGTTTTCAACAACCTTCGATAAAATACTGAATAATTTTCAAAGGTCTTCAGAATACCTTCGATAAAAGATTATCCTTTTCGCAGCTTTTTAATAGCCTTTGATAAAAAAAAAATGTATAATTTTCGAAGGTTTTCTAAAAACCATCAATAAAATGTCATATATTTTTCAAAAGTTTAATATTTGTTGATAAATATGTATTGTTTTTCAAAGTTTTCAATTACCTTAATAAAATAGTAAATAATTTTCGAACGTTTTTCAAAATACCTTCAATAAAGGTTAACCTTTTTCAAAGGTTTTTAATAACCTTTGAAAAAAATGCATAATTTTCGAAAGTTTTCTATAAACCTCCGATAAAGTATCATATATTTTTTAAAGGTTGCACATATTTGTTGATAAATATATTGTTTTTCAAATATTTTCAATAACCTTCGATGAAAGGTGGTCGAAACAACCTCGTTTTCTTGTAGTGAACCTTTCGGTGAGTTTAATACTGAAAACTCTTGATGTCTTTCGAATTTAGACTTTGAGACGGGTGTGAGTGCCCTTGGATATAGGAGATCAAAGCTCCAGCTCCCGGCTATAAAAAAAAAAATCCTTCACTTATTAACTTGTTTCAAACAACAGTATTTGCATTCGTTGATCTGTGCTTCTTGTAAAGGAAAATTCATTGCATCTAAAGATGTTTTGTTTAGTCTTATACTATTAAGGGTTTCACCTTCCAAGTCAAAATGATAAGAAATATTAATGAAGTTTTGCTAAGATCCCATCCATGTGTAGTGAATGAAAGAAAGATATTAACAACAATAATTCCTATAAATAACCTTCTTCCTTTCGTTACGTTTTTTTTTTATCAAATTGACATTAATTGGCTCATAATTTAGGCATACACATAGTAAAGATTGACCATTATGTCGATTGAAATGCCAAAGGCGACATTTTGTTATCCAAGGGAAAAAAAAAGTTTCCTCCTATTGATAGACACAAGTGTTGATGCAGAAATTTGGCCTCCTGTGATTCCGTCAAATTCGCACCAATCTTCAAGAATGAAAGGGATCAACGAAATCTGTAAAAAATAATAGCATTAAAGACCGGTGTGGCTCTTACCACACAGGCTCCAATCATTAAGTCAGAATCGGAGTGGTTGAATATAAAGTGTAGAGTGTTGTGAGCATAGCAAAGAGCAGAAATTTGTAACCTATCAAATAGTAGGGATTTGTAGCATACTTTTATTATGAGTATTTACCTTCTATTTATAGAGGTAAAATCCTAAGGTCATTAGGATATCTTCTCCTTTTGAATATAGGATATATTGTCCTGAATCTAGGGGAAATCCTAAGACCATGAAATATATCTTCTCCTTTTGAATTCCTTAAATAAAGGGAATTCGAATTGTAGAAAATAGGGATTTTCTCGTCCATAACAATAGCCCCCACTCTCAAAGTTGAAGATTGTCAAAGTTCTGCTTTGAGAGTATTTTGTCGTTCATGGGTTGACTATTTTTGTGGAATAGCCTCTTTTTTATTGCTGTTGATTGTAGTCTTAATTGGGCTAACTTTCCTAGCCCCCATTCTCTTTTGTTGTAGTTGGCTACCATCGAGTCCCTTACTGTTGAGAGTATTTGTCGTTATCAATTGTCGTTTTTATAGGCTGGCTTGTTATAGCCCCCATACCCTTTTGTTGTAGTTGGCTGTAGTCAAGTCTCTTGGGCTCTACCGTACAATTATTTCTAACTGTTTAGGTTTTCGCCTTGGGATCTAACTTTTAGCTGCCAAGCTGTACCCCTTGGGTTTCTAACTTGTTTAGATTTTGCCCAGGGTTTTATACTCTATGGTTTACTCTTGGGTTTCCAACCTATTTGGCTTTTGCCAATGGTTTTATATTCGAGTCTAGTCGATACCCTTTTGTTGTTGTCAGTTGTCGTTTTATGGGCTAGCTGTCATAGCCCCCATTCTTTTTTGTTGTAGTTGAATGCAATGAAGTCTCTTAGCTAGGCACTGCTATACGGTTAGTTTTTACCATTAGATTTTGGCCTTGGGATTTAACTTCTCAGCAGGGTCAGTGGTATTTATTTGGATTTCTAACCTATTTGCATAGTTCTATACCCTAGGATTCATTCTTGGGTTTCTAACCGATTTGGCTTTCGCTAATGGTTTAATACCCCAAGTCTAGTCGGCCTTGGGTTTATAACCTTTTGGCTTTTGCTGGTTTTTTACCTTAAGTTAATCAACACCCCTGAGTTTTTAACCTATTTTGATTTTTACCAAATGGTTTTCTACCCCTGGGTTTCATTGATTAGTTAGGTTTGCCTGCTTTTTGTTTTAACCTTGCAAGGCCAGTACGCGTGCCTTTCAGTACCTTTCAGATTCTTTTTCCTGGTTTCACTTAATGGCTTCTAGCTTATCGGCCTGCTTCTAGGTCTATTCTTGCTCGAGTTCATTGACCAGCTGTTGATTTACTTATCCATACCCCCACTTGAGGGATTTTCATTTAGAATAAGAGATAAACTCTCAAGTAGTAAAAATTTAATTACAACTCAAATGTCACTAATCTTATTCAGAATATATAAAGAGATAATTGCTCGAGTAATAAGGAATTAATTATATTCCAGATGCTAGTAGCTTTTTTAAATCACAAACGAGTAAGTATCTTTGGAAACATAATATTTGACTTTATCAACATGCAGTTACCAAGAAATCAGTCCTAAATTATACGATCTACCAAATATGCGATTACCAGAAAATTAAACCTAAATTTTCGTAATCATAAACAACTACAATTACACAGCAAACTTACCATTGTGTAAAGTAGAAACTCCGTATGTTAATCAGTTGCTTTTTCTTTTATGGGATTTGTTGACTAGTTTATCGCAGAGTCAGTTTTGGAATCCGTCGATTTATCTTATCGAGGATCTATCCTGAAATTTTTTGATTTGTTCGTTCTGGGTCCTATTTTAGAACTTATTGATTTGTTTTTTTTCCTCGGCTACCTCAGGTAAGGGAAGCCCCCGAGTCGTATGGCATTCATCGTTAGAAAGTTTTGGTCTGCTTCTATAATCCATGTCGATTTGTTTCTCCCGAGATCTCCTTGGATCTAGATCTTAGTTATCCCCACAGACGGTGACAATTATTAATGTAGAAATTTGGCCTCATGGGATTCCGCCAAATTCGCACCCATCTTCAAGAATAAAAGGGATCGACGAGACTTGTAAAACAGAATAACATTAAAGATCGGTGTGGCTCTTGTCACACAGGCTCCGACCCTTAAGTTAGAATCGAAGTAGTTGAGTATAAAGTGTAGAGTGTTGTGAGC